AATACTTAAAAATATATATAAAGTATTTTTTAACACTAAGTGTAAAGAGTCTTGGTTTGCATGTGTCTTACGAAAGTCCTCCAGCTCAGTTGAAGGGGATTTTTAATAAAAGAATATAGAAATATTTATATATGTAGATACATATACATAAGTATAACATATGATTCAAAATTCTGAGTTTGAAAAAAATATATAATAGAATTTGTATCACTACACAAAGTTTGTGACGTGCATTTTGATCTACCTGTGTAAATAAGGCTAATGTTGTATGTTAGGTCATATAACTGACTCTTCAAGATTCAAGACTACACATGCTCAATTGGAATTGGTGAAAAGATAGTTGATTAAAACATCTCTGAATGTATATACTTTTAAAGTGCTGTCACTATTATATCCAAACCTTGCAAGAAATATATTCAAAAAAGTAATGATTGAATGTCATACCTTTACTTTAAATACAGAATTTCCTAACCACTTCAGATTGCACTTGTTGGTGATATATATATATATATATAATTTTTTTATTTACTTAAATCATTAATTTTCAGTTATATGTGTATATTTGAAAACATTTAGTTCATATATGTAAAATTAAATGGTTACTAATTAGTAAGAGTATACATTAGATGGAGTTTTGGCTTTGAAAAACTGGTATGTGTATATGTGTATATATATGTATATTCTCCTTGTAATTTTATAGGCAGATAATCTAGTAAATGTTGTTGATGTGGACTCTTCCTCCATCGTTCTGTCCCAGCGCCTCAGCCCAATTAATACTCCCCACATGGAAAAAGTTTCTTCTAGTCACCTTACTTTACAAGAGATTTTGATTGTGGGAAGCTGCTGTGATCAAGTTAGTGCACTGACTTCTTATGTTTTCTCTAAATATATTTGAAGTTTTTACTGCTAACTGTCTTCAACGTAAGATTAGTCAAATATGGGTTAAATCTTCTGATTAATTCATTGAAAGTTTTCAAAATGGTGATAGTTTATATCAGTGATTCCCAACTGATTTAGTCTGAAGTCCCAGTCTTGCACTCTGTATACATTCTAGGTCTCTCCCCCTCATATTACACACACACACACACATGTATATATTTATATACATTCATATCTACAGTATATAAATCATGATGTAGAAGTGAATATATCTGTTCCAATGAAATATACTTTTTAGTGAGAACAGTAAGTTCGAAACAGAAAGGTGCATAAATTGAAATTGTCTAATCTCACAGGAAGCCAAGCCTGATGAATTCCCTGTCATGTTTGCTGTATTTCTCAGGTTGGGAACCACTGGTTTTTATAAATGGTGCCCATGCATATATGTATGGTGACATAATCTAATTTAATATTTCTTGAAATCTAAAGTTTCGTAAGTTTTTAATGCCATTTGAGTGAGCATGATAATTATATGTGTGTTAAATGAAGTAAATTGTAAAAACATGGATTACTTTTTTTCATTATGGAAAATTGTAATATGTTGAGCACACATAGTAATATGTGCATCAGTATTACTTCATTAACATGTACAAAAGCTAGTGATAGTGTTAAGAGGTGATAATTTTAAGTTTTCACAACATAGTCGTGAAATTTGAGTTTATAAAACAAAATAATCTAATAATTTTTGAAAAACTACTTTAACAAATTATTTCAATTATTTTGAATATTTAGTTTTCTTATTGTGTGCATTTTATGGATTAGTTTAAGACAAATTCACTTGAACCTGCAGTATTTTTTCACACTTATTTTACTAAATAGCATAATTCTTCTGTGTCAGTAACTTAAAGACAATTGAAAGTAAAATATTTTAATTTTTTTAAGCTTTTTGTTCCATGAATGTGTTACTTTCCTTCTCTATCAGTGATGTATACATATTCCCTTGAATAACTGAGACCATACAAACCAGATGGATATGCCAATCAAATTGAAATAAAAATTTAAATCTGTTTGTGTAGTGAGGGAAAGATGAATCCTATCAAATTGACAGTCATATCTTTTTTTATTTGAATGCAACACAATTAAATTTAAATCACAATATCATTGTTTGGCCTGAATAACTATATTATAATCTTTATAACCTAAAGAGTTTTTTAGTCACCTAACTTCAAACTTGCAGTGAGAAAAGGACAGCTCAATATAACTTAAGCCTACTGTAACCTTAAGTGCTACATTCTATATCTAATTATTACATTCTTAGAATGAACCAAATTTAATCTACTTATTGAAAATAGAAACACTTAACTGATGTAGTAATTCTTTGGTATTTCCAAAAACATTAAACTTACAACTATTTTCAACTTGCTAAGAAACTAAAAAGTATTTGCAATTAATTTTATACACAAAATTTGTGATTTTTATTGCAGGTTACTTTTTAAAAAATTTTTTTATTTAATGGATGTTATTAATTTTGTGTAAAAAAATGTGCATGTCGATCAAAGTTTGTAATGCATATATACAAAGATATCGGATACATATTAAAATAGCCAGTGACCCCTTATTTTTTCCTATCTACTTCTGGGTGTCAAACATACTTTTTTTTTTGTTTTAGATTTAAATGTAGATTAGAGAGTGTAATTGTGAAATACATTGCTGTCAGTCACACTTAAATTATTACCAGCCTAGAACTGAGCATATTCATCATGTACATGTAAATGCTGATACATTTATTTTCATTGATATGTGTGATCTTGTAGCTCATTTAATAAACTGCAATGATCAGTGAAAGCTGCATAACCATATACTATTTTTGTCTGATAAACATATTAATTAAAAAATTTGATTTCTTGATCTATTAGAACTCAGGGTAGAGTTATGGATAATAGTAATTCAATCCCTTTTTGGATGTTGGATTTAGTGAAGTCCACTGGAAGGGATGGTTTAACGAAACAAACCTAGTTGTGGTCTGTTACAAAATAGGTATCTGATGTTTAAAAATTGCTATCTGCTTTTATAAATGAAATTAAATGGTATCGATGCAGTTGGGAAGCAAGCAGTAAGAATTATATTTTTATTTTACTATATGGCATCCTTAAGGTTTTGCACTTATTTTTATTTTTTGTCTGTTGGAGTCGAGCATGGCCTGGTATTTAGGGTACTGCAGGTTTGAATCCTCAAACATGCTTTCTATTTTGGCCTTGGGGGTTTATAATGTTATGAATAATCCCACTATTCATTAGGAAAAGAGTAGCCCAATAGCTGGTGGTAGGCAGTGTTGACTAGCTGCCTTCCCTCTAGCCTGTCACTGCTAAATTGGAGACAGTTAGCATAGATAGCCCTTGAATAGGTTTGCAAAAAATTCAAAACAAATGAAACTAATCTTGTCTGTTGGACAAGAATTTTATAGAAAAACACTTGGCTCGCTTGAAAATTTGTTGTCTTCATCATGGGACAGTATTACCTTTTATAACTTGCATTTCTTTAAGTTTTATGTAGATTATTTAAATAAAACTTGATTGTTTGAAATTTTATTTTAAACAGCTTGTATAGGTTTTTTAATTTTCTAGCTTTATTGCATTTTTTGTTTACATCAAAAATTTGCATTTTTTTTTTCAGGCAAAATTTAGTGAGTTAACCCTGGACATGTTCCGTATGCTTCAAACACTGGAACGTGAGCCTCAGGATGACTCCACTCAAATTTATGATGCTTCTCCTGCTCCTGGCAGGGTTCCATTTGTAAGTATATGTTGTAAAGAACATTCATGTGTACTTTTATTTGAAACTGAGCTTATGTTCTGTGATTCTATTTCATATATACTTTGTCAGCAAACATACTAGCCATTATCTAAAACCAATTTACTGCTTGAGTACTTAAAGTTTAGAGAACAATATATTTACATCATTAAGAATCTTTGTTTTTTGTTCTCACAGAGTGGATTGATTTTAAGTAGTTTCTTCAAATAAATATTAGTTTGAAAAATAGATCTAGATATTTGATATTTCTTGAATTGTTTTTTTTATATTCCTTACTGGAAATTCTAGCTCATGCTGGTTAAAATGAGACCAGCTGGTTTTTCTCCAGCTGAGAACAGTTTTCTGCTTGTCCTAACTAGTCATTCCATTCCTGCAGGTTCTAGATGTTTGATTAGGCTTCATAATATTGATGATAAGATCCTTTTTTTATTCATAGTTCACTGTGAGGGTTAGTTTTATAGAGAATAGTGAAATCCTTATTTCAAATAGCTGTACTGCACTTTCCCGTGAAATTAAAGTATACATGTGAGTTAGTTGTTGATGTATTCGAAGAGTGCTCATAGATGTGTTTGTTTAAATATTGAGTTATGCTTTCAGCAAATATACTTAAGAATTGGTTGCATGTGAATGAATAAATATGTCAAAACTTGAAGTTATTGGGTTATTGCCTTTTGGAATTCCAGTGTTTTGGTGTGAGCCTAGAAACCACGGATATGACTGCTATTTTTGCTCATGTAAGGTGCAAGGCTACAACACTCAAAATAAAAAGGAAATTTCTTATCCATACCTTCAATCTGTTATAAGACCTGTTACTCATGGACCTGATGTACCTGTACCTACTCCACCAGAGTCTCATGATACAGTTTTATCTGATTCTGGATCTGATGTCAATAGAAATGTTGATAGGGATTGTTTTCAACCTGAAACATCTGGTGAATCACAACTTTTCACACAAGGTGAGCTTAATGATTTGGTGAGAGATTTGGGCCTTCCAAAGGATTCTATAGAGATTTTGGAATCCAGACTTCGGGCTAAGAACTTACTTTCTAGAGGGACATCATTTTACTGGTACAGAAATCGTGAGAAAGAGTTTATATCATAATTTTCACAATAAGGTTCACTGGTTTATTGCAACAATATTCCTGAATTAATACCAATGATAGGAGCTGCAGCCTATGAACCAACTGAGTGGCGATTATTCATTAATTCTTCCAAAAGAAGTCTAAAAGATGTTCTCCTTCACAATGGTAACATATATGCATCTGTTCCTATTGCTCACTTGGTTCACTTGAAGGAAATGTACGAAAATCTTGAACTTCTTCTTAATAAGGTCAAATACAAAGAACATGGTTGGGTACTTTGTGGATACTTAAAAGTCCTTTATATGTTGTTGGGTCAATAATCCATTTATACAAAGTTTAATTTGTTTGTGTGAATGGGACAGCAAAGCCCGAAATCATAAGGATGAAGCAATGGTCATGCAGAGTCAGCCTGATACCAGGATTGAAAAACATTGAACGAGAAAGTTTGGTTGACACAAAGAAAGTCCTATTACCTCCACATCACATATAAACTGGGCTTGATGAAGCAGTTTGTAAAGGTCTTACACAAATATGGTGACTTTTTCAAGTATCTGGCAATTCCCAGCTCTTTCAGAAGTGAAACTTAAAGAAGGGATTTTTTGTTGGGCCTCAGATTAGGAAATTGACTTCAGATGAAAAATTTGAAAGGACAATGAATAAAGTTGAAAAAGAAGTATGGATTGCCTTTAAAGATGCTATTAAAAAATTTTTAGGAAACAACAAGGACCCAAATTACGAAAATATTGTCAGTAACATGCTCGATAAATTCAAAGAGTTGGGTTGTAATATGAGCTTGAAAGTTCATTTCTTACACTCGCATATTGACTATTTCCCTGAAAATCTTGGTGCTGTGAGCGAAGAATAAAGGGAAAGGTTTCATCAAGATGACAGGAAAATGGAGAGGAGTTATCAGGGAAGCTGGAACACCAGCATGGTGACTGATTACTGCTGGTCATTGAAACAAGATGCTCCAGATGCAATACATAAAAGAAAGACCACAACATGTAGTTTTGAGACTAAAAGACGTAGATTTCAAAACAAGAAAATCGTGATGAATGAGGATGCATTTTCTTTTGACATCAATGTTCTTCCCTTTTCTTCAGTTTGTTTGTATTTTTGTTAACAAACATAATAATAAAAAATATTCATTGTGGTAAACAAATATTAATTTGATCTAAATAAGGGGTTTTTCTTCACAATTTGTAAAAAAAAAAACCCTTACGTGCTAGAAAAAAATTTATATTATTTTTAAAATCTGCATAGTTGAATTATGGAAAATCCACTATTAAAACCAAAACAACTTTTATGAAGCTTAATTTTGCAGGCCTGTGTAATAATAGTGAAGAAATGTAGGAAAAGAAAAAGAATATCAGATGAAAGACAAGAAACATACCACAAGTTACAGTGAATGTGATTGAATAATAGTTAAGAAATACAGCATGAGTGTGAACTCATTTGATGGTGAGCAAGATGAACATATATGATGATAGTAAAAATAACACGTATAAGAATGTGAGAGAGTAGAGCATGTGTATATAGTGTGTGTTTATAACAATAGGGTAATATCCAGCTATATCTGTGTAACATATAAATGTGAATAAAGATACATTATAAGAGCCACATAATATTTTGATTGTAGATACTTGTTGACAGTCTTGTGATGTATTATAAATGTTAGTTAGAATATCCAACCAAAGCCATGTAATGCATCATTAGTGTGAGTAAGAATATCACCTGATAACATTTTAGATTCCTTAATATATAAATCATTTGTGTATAAGCAAGTATTATGAAACATTACAAAAATGAAGTAATACTATTGATATCCAAGTTATATAACAAGTCTGAGATGATTAAGCTTTATTAGTTGTTTGGTTAAACCTGCTGGTTTTCAAATGTTAAACAGAAGTTAAAGGAATGTAGTTATAAGTGAATGGCCCCTGTGGATGCTGTTCAGAATAGGTTGAATTTTTTTCACAAATGAAATCAAAAATACCTACTAAAATTTAAAATAATTTATTATGTGATTATATGTAACAGGACAGTAAAGACTGAAAATACTTACCCATGATATATAACATTACATGTATAAATACAAAACAGTCTCACTTTCATACATAATACACCAGAGAAAGTTCTTAAAAATGTTAGTAATGAATATATTTTTAAAAATGGTATATTAAGTCTTTTTTTTGTGTAGAAAACTCAATTTTATTTCTTCCTACAGCCAGAGAATGGAGAGCAAAGACCTATCAAAAGAGAGAACCCTCATAAGTACCTTCTGTATAAGCCCACTTTTAGTCAGCTGTTTGTATTTCTGGCTTCTGGATTTAGAGAGCTTCCAGCAAATGGTGTTCTCTTGCTCTACCTCTCTGCTGATGGAAGTTTCTCCAACATAAAACATCCAGATGACAGTAAGTTATAGTAATGACCATACAAGCATTCATAACAAAATAAGAGCCTTTTAAATAATTGGTCAACTGGAAATAAAGTTTCTATTTAATCTTGAAAAAAAAGTATTAATATATATGTACACACATGAAGAAAATTTGGCAGAACAGTGTCTAAATCAGCTGTCAATATAAATAAATAAATATTTAATTGGTAAATGATTATTATACTATAATAATAACCTACACACACACACACACACACACACACACACACACACACACACAACAAAATACAGTCGTAGTATTTATAGAAAATTATGTACTGAACAATTAACAAGTGTTTTAGTAACCACTCCCATGTAAAGACCTAGTGTATATTAACTATTCTACTGTTTCAATTTTTAGCCAGCTTATCAAGCTTAAGATATGGGCAAAATCTTTATAAATTTGGTCTGTGGATTTATTTTTCACATAAATAAAAACAGCTAAATTTGATTTCTTTAAAAAAACAAACAATTGCACCATCTCTCTTTTCTTATGAATAAACCAATTTAACTGTTAAGAATCAAGTCCCCCTTTTTCCTTTTGAGCTCCCTGCATATCATCAACACTAAGGTACCATATTTCAAGTTATATACAGATGTTCCAGATAAGTTCCCGTGTTTCAATTTAAAATTTGTTTCGTCTAGTAGGTAAGTGGCTTTGTTGGTCAGCACAAGAATTCGTCTATGAGAAATTTAATTATCATTACAAATAGCTTGTACATTTTCTGAAGACTGATATTATGCATACATGTACATGATATAAAAATATAATGGATGAAACAAACATTTTTTAGAATGAGAAAAAAAAAAACTACTACAAATGAAATAGGTTGATGCCACATAAAAATAACTTAGTGAATTTTATAGTTTGTATACCTTTTTGTACGTGAAACTGCAAAATTATGATATCTGAAAATGTAATTTTTTTATTATTACTTCTGAAATTATACTTTTTGTGCGATCATCTTGAAAATTTTCTTATAGTTGGTTATGACTATGGAGGCATAGCAACCAATAGCAAGAAAGAACCTGACCATGCGAATAAGCGAAATGTCCAGTTGAAGGATATGCATTGGTAAGTTTCCAATATTTAATACATGTGATTTGTTTGTTAGTTTGATAGTTAAGTGCTTCAAATTTCTGTGATAAGAATTGTATAGTTTATGACTTAAGTGTCATTTTTTTTCCATTTTGTTAAACTTCATAAGGAACTAACCAACCATAAATAACATAAATGAAATGTTACCATTTTCACTGTTTTGCTTGAAAGTTTATTCAGAAGAAATACTTACTGGCAATAAACGTGCATATGAAACTACCTATTTCTTTCATGTAAAGAAAAAGAAACTTGGGAACAGGGGTAATATAACATTATTCACTAAGATGCATCATTTTATTTGTATCTGTGTGTGTGTATGTCACACTGAAACTGTGACAAGTCTAATACATTTAAAATAACTGGTCTGATGGATATCATCTAACAAAAAACATCTTGTAAACTTCTAAGTCACACATTAAATAATAAGTCTTTGAAAAAACACTGGGTGGTTACTTGTTAATGCAGCTATAAGATTTGATACATTTTTGACAAACTTTTAGTTCCTCTGTCATCTTTCAAGATGATAAATTAACCAGTTGAATCAATGTCATTACAAATAGCATAGGTACTATCAGAAGATATTTAGAAACTAATACACAGGTGTGTGTGTGTGTATCTATATCTTTTGAAAGATTCTATTATATATATATATATATATATATACAGAAGTTTAATTGCATGAGAATGATTTGCACATGCAGTTCATTCTTGTACAATTAATCCTCTGTATGTATGTTAGGGTCATTTCACCAATGCAATGCTGCTAGAGCAGAACTATGGCTTCATTGATATGTTGCTACCCTTTCCAAGAAAAGATATTTGCACAGTATGATTGTTAAATGTTGTAGAATAAGAGAACCTTCAACATTTATGACAGCAACAGACTTCAAAATACCAAACTCAGTCAATTTAAAGGAATGCTCTAATCCTTGAAGTGAAGACTATGGTTGTGAAAGAGAATTTCTCAACCTAAGAAGCCACTGTGGGGAAGTTGGAGCATATCTCAAGATAATAAACAAGGAATTTAATGATGATGAAAGCTGATAAGCCATAAGTTTTCATGTTTATAGCCACATTCATAAATCATTGCCTGCTTTCATGAAAAAAGATGGCCAAAGAAACTGGAATCACAGCAATCCCATTCCACGACATATCTTCCTAGTGCTTTACATAACCTAGAGTTTTTTTGTACCTTTGTTTTTCTTAAATGTGGCCATGGAAGTTGATATATAATAGATTAACCTTGCTTATGCTTGTTACAGTGGAAATTAGGGTATCAGGTAGTAGTGTGTAATTATTAGATTGAGTATGATTTATAATAGAGGAAGTAGCTGCAATGGCAGCATAGGATATGGTACATTATTTCTATAAGGTGTAATTATTTCACAGTATGTATGTATGTGTAAAAAAACAAGTACTCAATATTTGATTGGGAAAAAATTAGTGTAGATATATATATATATATATATATATATATATATATATATGTGTGTGTGTGTAGTAATAACTTAG